AAATGCTTCTGGGGTAAAAGAGCTTGGAGAAGACGAAGATGCATCTTAGGGTAGACGGAAAGTCTGGTCAATTATTAACAATAGTTAAAATAATTACGATAATTCAAACTCTTGCTTTTATTTTGGTGGGCAATTTTCACTTTTTTTTTAAGATAATTTATCTGGTGTGAAAAATTAAACATGACCTGCCTCTTAAGTGAAATGGTAAAAGGTTTAAATTATGTTATTTTATGATTAAACATATTATTGTCTACTGTTGAGTTATTCATTATCTTCCTGTGTCTGGATATTGATGTATTCTTTTTATATGCTTTTATTGCCCTATTTCTGCACTAAATAATTTCTGTTTCTTATTCCATCTTTTTCACTCTACAATCTTCACACTGTTGGTACATGAACATCTGTAGGCAAACCAAGAGCAGGATGTGCAGAAAACAAAGTATTAACTATTTTCCTTCTACTTCTTTAGCAAAGCAGCCCTGCAGTTGTGCATGAGTCTGCATGTAATACCCTGATCTCAAACAGCTTTTGGGAACTAGTAGAAACTTTTCTGTTACATAATATAAATAAGTGATATTTATGTATGCTAATCCATTTTAATAGGTTATTTTGTGCAGAATGCAGGGATTTGTCAAAAATAATCTGGCACTCTCCACTCAGGAAATCTGTACCCATGTGGTTTTCACTCTAACCACTACCACATAAGCTTTTATGGATGGCATAGAAATATGTAAATAAGAGTATTTTTAGCCACCAGGCACAGAGTAGTGTAAAAACACTACTGAAGGCGGTGTTACAAAATTTCCCTTCCATGCAGGTTTTTAATATTGATTTAAATTCTTACAAGCCTTTTATAAAAACAGGCTGGAAGGAGTAAAAACAACATCTGAGATCATCTTGTCACTGCTAAAAAACGTGCAGACTATTTATGGATAAATACCCCTAGTGTCACGCTTCAGTGTGTTAAGCACAGCTGGGCTGCTTCACCTCCTGTTAACACCTAGATTCAGAAACAAATGATGCTAAGCTAAAACCAATAATAAATAAAACAATGAAGCTCAGTATGAATATGTTGTTATAGAATCAAGATTTTTCTTAAAGAACTGGAAACAGGAATAAAATAGAATAGCACTCAGAGAGCGCAGACTCTCCCAAGCACTACATTTTGCCCCATTTGGTGACTTATAACTATAGCTAAAACTCCCATATGATCTGTTTCATTACCAGATTTAAATGAATTGTTCTTTGGCATGAGGTGCACCTTTGGTAGAAATGTCCTCTTTTCACAAGTTTTCAATTGATCCTGCTTAAAAAATCATCAACCTTTCCTTTTCTTGTGTTTTTGTCTTCAGTAAAACACCTTTCGACTTTTTGAGTCCCGTGCTGAGGCTTTCGATAGTCACTGCTGCCACCCTCTGGTTTAGTGTGGAACTGCTTGTTCCGCCAAATATCCCTATCTCACAATGTCATGATTCTGCCCTTTCTGGACTGTTTGTTTCAGTATAACTTTTCTTTTTTAATTTTCAATAATAATTTGATTTATGTCATTCTGTGTTTTCTTGGTCATTGGTGATATTTCCATTTTATGTCATTCTAGTTGTTTTCTGGTTGTATTTGAGCACTTATGTATTTCTTGTTTATTCTCTGTTGCCGGCTTGTGCCAGTCTCCTTCCCCCAGCTCCCTTCTAGGTCCTTCTACCTATCAGTTGATTATTCAATTCTTTGTTCTGTTTGGGAGTTATACTCCTCCTCTGCAGTTACTGTTTGCTGGTTCCTCTACATTCCTTCCTTAAAGGGGAACATCGTTTTTATTTAAATTGGCCTCTTGATTTTACGTTATTACATCATGTTCTACTCACCCACATACGTTTTGTGTAATTTGGAGCCTTTCTGAAGATATTCCGTGAGGTTATATCCACTTAACGTCTTTCTATGGGCAACGAGTTGAAGGCACAAACTAAACTGTTCATAATTGATTCTTTATGGTATGCCAGCATTCATAACGTAGGCGAATCACTGTCCACCAGACAGCTACCATTTATTCATCCTGTCCGCTGAACTGCTGCTAGTTTTACTCTCATGCGTGGAAGATGTCTAGTGCTACTACCACAGATGATCTCGCTCTCGAAATGGAATTTATCGATTCAGATTAACTAGCTGAATGAATAGAAGGAGTGGAGCGTAACCGCCTGTGGCCCGGGCTACTTATCACAACTCCAGTCCGGCGCACAGATGACGTCATACACATTTCGCTTTGTTACCTAGGGAGACAACCCGGTCTGATGAACAGAGTGGTTGACGATCTTGGTCTAGTGGATGGAGTTAGCTAGTTATACATCTGAAGTGTATAATTGAGGGAAGCAATAGCTTCATCAGACAACAATTTTCAAGGAAGTTTTATTTTCATCTGTCGTATCTCAGCATGCCCTCTCAACGTTCTTATGAAGATGCTGTTTTCTGATTAACTAAAGAGCTTATGACTTTCAAGTGTGTGCAAACTCTCCACACCAGACAAATATGGTATGCAGCATCCAGGTGCAAACACTGAAGGACCTGTACTTTCTTAGAAAGTACAGTTGGCTTTGTTCCTTCTTGTAGATAGCTTCGCAGTTGTGTCTCCGGTCAAATCTTTTGTCCAGCTGAACATCAAGGTATTTATACTCCTCCACCAACTCCACTTTTCCCCCTATGATACTAATAGTGATGGAACTGCCCTCCTTTCTCCTGAAATTTGCAATCTTGTCCCTCGTTTTGTTCATATTCAGGATCAGACGACTGTTTCTACATCATGCCACAAAGTGGTTCACTGGCTTCCTGTACTTCATGTTCTTCTCTGATGAACCCAATTACTGCAGTCATCAAAGTTTTTCTGCAGAAGACACGTCTCTGTCTGGTGCTGCAAGTTAGAGGTGTACACATTAAAACAAAATAGTGAGAGTACTGTCCCCTGTGGTGCTCCTGTGATGCTAAATACCTGATTCCTCCTCCCCCGTCTTCTTGATTTTCTGAAAAACAAATCAGACTGAATCATGTGAAATTGCACCGGAGTAATCAAATCCTCATGCTGCTGTCTGACTGGTCTAAATGACGGTGGGTTTGTTGAAGAAAGTATATGATGGCATCTTTAACTCCAAAGCAGTAAGAAAACTGCAGGGGTTCCTGATAGCTGCTTGTTTGTGCATTTGTCATGATCTGCCCTGATAGCTGGCTTTAATTGTTAATGCCTTTCTCCTGCCTAACTCTGCCTGGTCTCCAATTATCACTTATCTCATCCACCTGCGTCTTTTACTTTATACTGGGCTCATTTCCAGCTTTCCAGGCCAGATAATTGTTTGCTGTTTGTTTGTTCCCTGTTAGATGTCTTTAGGTTCTGTTTTCATAAGTTTAAGTTAGTCAAGGGTTTATCTCCCCTATTCCAGTAAGGAGATTATTCTGGCTCTAGTGTCTTCAGGTGAGTTAATTCCCTAACCAGTGGTGAGAGTGTTTCAGCCTTTCTACTGATTCTGTTTGCCTGATTCCGTTCCCTCTCATCCACTGGCCCTGTCTGTCCCTGCCTGATCTGTTCTGAACCACTTTTGCACTCCTGCTGGATTCTGCCTGTCTGTGCGTTTTTGTCTGAGCTGGTTGCTCGCACACAGGACTCTGAACATGCCTTAGGCAGTTCCCCTGTCTGCATCTGTGTGTGTCAGTCTGGGCACACTTCTGGACCTATCTGACTCTGTACCTGCCTTCTGAGGATTCCTGGAAGCCTGGATCCCTCTGTTCCTGTTTGGGTCAGAACCTCTGATCGAGCAGAGAACTCATGGATCCCTTAACTGTTCCTGCCTGATCTGTTCTCCCCTGACCTGGACCGGCTTCCTGCCTGTTCTCTGGGGCTGCAGCATCAGGGGGCACTATGGGCGGCTCAGTGCCGCATCTAGTTAGCAATGCATTGGCTGTTCCTGCCTATTATTGAGAGGATGGACTGAACTTTTAAACCAGGTAATGATTCACTTTGATGGTCATCTCCTGTCAGATGATTGTGGTCACTTACCTGTGTTTCTCCCTTCTGAGTGTCAGTGATTGAGCGGTGCCCTGGCCCCCCTTCTGCAGTCGCCGTGGTCGCAGATCCACAACCCTGCACTTCAGTTCTGTTTGTTTATGGTTTTGTTTTTAATAAACTTTTTCTACTTTCCTACTGGTTGTCTCACCTTGAATACTGGGTCCATCAGTCCCGTTTTATGACCGCATTAAGATGGGCCGACAGGAGTCTATCTAAGACCTTCGTGATCTGGGATGTGAGGGAACAACTGATTAGTTATTGAGGACTTGTGGCTGAGTGGTGTTGGTACTGAAACAAGGAAGGTCTTCAACAACACAGGATCAATCTATGCTCAGTTCTTCAGGAGTCTGTTACAGATACCATCTATACCTGGAGTCTTGTGCCTTTTCAGTCACTCAGCTGCCTTTTTATACAACTTCTATAGACAGAGAGGTGAAAAGGGAGGCAAAGGGAGCAGCACTATTTCCAGAAGGGTCATAGCAGCGCTGGAAGACAAAACATCTGAGGCTCTGCAGTGATACTGTGTTACTTGGTGCATTTTTTTAATTTCAATCTAAAATTGTAGTTCTTATGAAAACATTACATGTTTTTCCTAAAGTTAAACACGAGTTCTGAATTCTCGTGACAATTTTCAATGGATAGCAAAGCAAAACAAGAAAAGAAATTAGGTTGGTCCTCCCACCGCAGCATGATACAAACATACCGATGATAGATCTTCAGAAGCTTGAAACATAACTATTTCCTCATATTTTGTTTTAAAAAAATGCATTTTTCTTGTCATAACAGCCTAATTGTTTAATCCTTAGGGTCCAAGTATGGAACCCTTACGCTTTTCTTTTCATAATGTGTACATTTCAAAGATTCATTTGGGATGGGATGTGAAAAAATCTAGTTTAGACTCTAAAAAGCTATTCCTCTTCCTGTTCCCCTCTTTCTATTTCACTCTCCTCCTCTACAGGCTGATGTTCGCTCCAGAGAATACCTACGCATACACTTCCCAGCTACTGATGCATGAATAAGACACTTAGGTAAGTGACAAAAGATTCAAAGGTGTGGATTCTCACCCATACACATCACACCCATCTTTAAAAAACTAGCTGAGTGTGAGGTTTGTGTCACTGCTGTGATTTTGACTCATAACATAGGTTTAACAGAAACAGCAAGTGACTCATCAAGGACTTTTCCAAAATCCCAAAGTAAAGTCTCTACTTGTTGGCTAAGATCTAAATTATTCAGATGTGATGTGGTGATTAATCCAAGTAAACTGACGCTGGAAACGGACAAAATTGAGAAATATATTTGCAATGTTGTGTATTTATTTTGTGTAGGAAAAAAAAAACAAAAACAAATGGGGTTATAGTCAGTAAAATAAGCAGTAGGTATGTAGTGAGAAAATAACATTTTCTGTTACATCATCAAATAAGTTTAAAAACAAAATGCAGTTTTGTGAGTTCAACCAGTTTTGCCTTGGTAACGAACCGACTTCACCTCTCTGCTGTATACTGGGTGGATTTAAGAGTTTAAGAGACTTTGACAGGTCCTCTGCATTTCCCTGCATCTTTATCTGAGTGTGGGTGGGGCAAAGGTGATCCAAGGACGTCTGGGGTTATCCAGAGATGCACAGGCTGTGAGAGAGAGAGAAGCATGTTAAGCTCAGAAGAACCTTTGATCCTGAGAGTCTCATCTGAAGTAACACACTGCGCTCCCCAATTTGACCCTGCCTCCCTCATTACTGATGAAAGCTGCAGACCATTAGCACGTCTGGTTCCTTCAAAAGTCTAATCATCATTCACCACATGAAGCCAAGTGTTTTCAAACATGCTTATAATCAAATCTTCATGTCTGAAGCAGAGATGATAAAATGAACTGTTAAGGTAGCACACATGGAAGCACAGGAGGCTGTACGTGCTCTCGGGTATTTCAGTGCAGTACTTGGCAACAGAATGGCATATCCATGTGCATCTTGGAAGCTCACTGATGTGGTGAATCCTCTGGCGGAGCTTTGATCTTCCTTTCTACAAAGAGATAAAGACAGGGAGGGAGGCTTTGTGCTGAGTTGGCAGGTATAACCCGTATTTACCCTTGCTCTAACTTAACAACGCTGGAGGCACATTTGATCTGATGTACCACGCCTTAGCTGCCCCATATGATATGGTGTAGGTTTTACTTTGCGTAATGTTAACATCTTAATCTTTTCAATGGAACATAAGTTAGGCTTTTCAGCTGGACATTGCTGCTAAACAATATCAAGAGTTAAGATTTTATACTTGTATGATTCCCATTCAGAGAAAGAACAAGTCCAGAATCAAAAAAAATCTCTTTATTTGGATGCATATGTTGTTTTTTAATTCACTTATATATGAATTAGAATACTTTTTTTAAATCCCAGAGAGAGCTAATGTTGATAAAATTACACCAGGCTGTGTGCAAGTTTAATGTGATGGAAATAGGAAATAAAACTATTTCAAACTACTCACAACATCAATAGATTTTTCAGTTTTTTTTTATTTTTTTATTTCACATAAGCTGTGAAAGTTAGTCATAAGTTGTATTTTAAAGATATATTTGGATCCCCTAAGCAAGATTCGTCCTGTGACCAAAAAATAAGCCCTTAGACAAATTCAAGCTGTTTTTAGATAAATATGTCCTCTTGGTAGTAAAGTTAGCTACAAATAGGACACCCTGTTAAATATTGAGTTGTGAGTTGGTTTTTTATCTCATATATATAAACCTAAATATGTACCCATTACTGCTAGTATTAGCTGCCTTTACAGCTGTGGTCTGTAACTTTTCTTAAATGCGATGAGAGGGGAGATTTTTAAATCCTGCCACTTACCAACACTGTGCCTTTTTCCCTGTCCCCTCCTGATGAAGCTGAAAGCAATGCCTTCAATCTGTGAGTCCATAGTGCGTGAACATAGAGGATAACTGTATTGATCCGATAAAAACGATACGTGGAACAGTGCATGGTTGAATACAGTACTGATCTGTTTCTGCATTTTTTATTTAATTTTTTCCTACTTGCTTTGATTCTGTTTTATCTTCCTATATTTTAATCATGTAAAGCACTTTGCATTGTCTTTGTACTGAATTGTGCTATACAAATAAATTTTGACTTGCCTTGCCTTGCCTTGATCAGTTAGCCCACGTTCCCCTCCCTCCTTATCGTGCAGTTAGCTTGAAATTTAAACTCCAGACTCACATTACATGTAATGTAAATCTGGTTAGCATTCAAGTTAGCAACATAAACCCAGCCTTTTGTCATGATGTTTACATTCCCTTTCTTTCCAGGTTAGTACATCCAATTTCTTTTATTTTTTATTTCATTCACAATTTTCATAATTGGATAAATTATATTTTTATCATGTGGTAGACTTTTTAAATGATGACCTTTCAGCTCATATTATCGCACATTTTCCTGTAGTTGAAAACTGAAAGTGATGTTAAATTAGTTGTTTTGATTTTTTAACATGTTTTTATATAGCATATTTGAGGGGGGAGGGGGACCAAAAATACAGTGGTTTGTACACTTACTCAAATGTTTTACAAGTGAACAAAACTTATTCTGTCTATTTTGATATTTTCAGATGGATATTTTCCTAATGTTTTTGGCTTCTGCTGATTTGGTCTCTTCCTTCAGCTATTTCTCTTCAATGATTTCAGCTGTTTCTCCTCTCCTCATGATCACACCTTCATTTAATCTTGTTTCTCATTTTTTCATGCCAGTCTCTCCTGTTGTTTTGTCTCCGACTTAGCTATGTTCCTGTTCATGATCCTTACACCCCTTACACTCTCAAAATGGAGGTATTTATTTCAGTGTCTACATAACTCACGACCATGTCTCTCATTACTTTTAGTTATTTACTCGCTTGCAAATAAAAGAAACAGAGTCTCTGACCGTCAAGATAAGACTTTCTATTTTGGATTATTTCAGACACATAAACTTCTTCAGTATGATCTAAGACTGTCATAGAGGCAGAAAAAAAAAACGGATTCTCCTCTGTGACTGAAAGTTTAAGACAGTGTGTGACCCTTGAATGCCCCTGGGTGGTAGACAACAAGAAACTGTTTCTGTCTTTATTAGGCTAAGGACAGCACAAAAATGAAAAATGGAGCACCAAGACAGGGGATCCCAAAAATATGGATCAAGATGGAGTGAAGACGACTCTAGAGAATGAGATAAAATACAAAATAAGAGTAAAAGGAATGAGACAACAGCTTAGGAGGACGGTAATATCCTTCTTACATTCTGGATTTCATTTCTTTAAATGTTGATCACTGGAAATGTCAAACAGCCATGTGATTATACTTTTAGACAGTTGTGGAAAAAGATAAACAGTTAATAAGCTTTTATGACAGGTTGAACAGCTGAGAAAGTGATAACGACAGACTACAGAGGCACATTTTGAGAGAATTGGTTACTAGAAACAGTATGGGAAAAGAAAATAGTCTGATAAATTGAATTTCTAAGTGATGTGATGCACATGACTGCCAAGGAGCAGGAGTCCAAACCTACGAGGGTTAGACAGAAGAAAACACACCCAAAATGCTGATAGCTTGGCACATCCACAAACCATTCACTTTCAATTATAGAGACTGGTTCAATCAGCTTCATGCTGTTATACAAACTCTGCTGCCCTTTACGGAACATTTCTGAAATGTCATGGAAAATGTTGGAGAGGCGCTCGGCACAAGGTTGGGCAATGAGCTCTGCTGGGAATCAGCCTTATTAAAAACTTATGGCGGTACAAGGAAAGTGGCTTGTTGCTAAAGCTACAAGGGAGTGTGACTGTTAACCAGAGAAACTCCTGTTACCCTCCATATAGTCTATCTTATTTTTCCTGTTGGCTTGCTTCAAGCCTAAACCGTGGTTTTGCACAAAGTAATTATTTGTTTTTGCTTTATTGCATGCTTTTAGAAAAGAAGAGTTGAGATCTCTCTGCATCACTTAAGTTTGTTTAGCTGT